TGTCTAGCTGGTGCCCTAAGTACATGCTTTGTCTGTTGCATGGTCTGACCCACCAAAACAGTGGCTTTAGGGGAAGGAAGTGCGTCAGCACCTTTGGGGTGAGCACAATTACCTTAGCAGCTCATCTCTCTTGTGGTCCCACAAAAGTGGAACAACCTGGGCTCATCACAGAGTTATCTCTGGCTCAAGGTGAATTGATAATCCATCCCTGCTGATAGTCTAGTTCTAATTTCCCCACCCACTTACTGTGTGGCCTTGGGAAAATCACAGCCTATTTCTGAGCCTTCCTTCTCTGTCTTCATTTATATAATAAAGGGAGCCATATACGGTGACTCATGCCTGTAATCCCAGCACTTTGGGAAGCCAGGTGAGAGGATCGCTTGAGGCCAGGAGTTCAAGACCAGCTTGGGCAGCACAGTGAGACTCCATCCTTACAAAAAAAAATTAAAAATTAGCCAGGTGTGGAAAGGCATGCCTATAGTTCCCACTACTTGGGAGGCTGAGGCAGAAGGATCACTTAAGGTTCACATGTCACAGTGAGCTGTGATTGTGCCACTGCACTCTGGCCTGGGCAAAAGAGTGAAAAGCTATCTTTAAAAAGTAAATATTTTTTTTAAAGGGGCTTGGCCAAAACAATTTAATCACTAATGGCTCCTTCATTCCTATTTTATAATTCATCAACAAAATGAGGCAAGTTGGAGACCTGCACTCTGGAGCGCTGAGCTCCTGGGAAGGTGGTGGTGCATTATTCAATAGAAACAGTCAGACTCCATTCTTGCCCTGAAATTGCTACTGGTATGGTGGAGCCATAAACTTATAAATAGGCAGGAATACCCAGGGTGATCATCATGGTGCCCAGAAAAGAGGTCCCTGAGCCAGCCAGGACCAGCAAAGGCTAAGTTTGGCAGAAGCACAAGGCAAAAGCAAGGAGTTGACATTTGACTAGATAAGGAGAAATATGGTTGCAAGCAGATGGACTTTGAATAGCATCTTATCTCATGAAAAATCTTATGACCCCTGGGCAGGAACCAGGATGCTGACTTTAAGACCTACCTCTGCTATGAGTTTACTGATTGGCATTGAAAAGACAATGAACTTTCTGGACTTCAGACTTAGCATTTATCTCTCTCACTGTTTAATAGAAGTGAGGCAGAATGGGGGAATAAGGATACAGTTGGACTTGATGGTTCTGAATTTCTGCCCCTCAAACCCCAACTTGGCCTTACTCAGTGACATTCGATCCGTAATCAACTTCCCTGAGCTGTAGCAATGCCCAGGATAATGTAGTCTGCATCACCTTGGGCGTTAGAAGACCCTGGTGACTGGCTTAGGCAGGTTGGGTCTGGTTACCTGAGAGTTAGCTCCTTGAAACTGAGATGCAACAGTTTTGCTTTCCTACATGCGTAATGGGGGCTTACCTCTAGAACACTCTTTCAAGGGAACATTCACAGTGGAGTGGCCTGTCCTATGTGTCTTTTAGGAAGACATTTTACCAGCTTTAACTCTCTAATGGAGAACTACGCCACCTTCCACACACACACTTCAGAGTCTAAAGAGCAAACTCTGATATTTATGGTTACTGCTGACAATATCAGTTGAAGGAAAGGAGAAATAAAATCTTTGCCCCAATCTCTCCCCACATGAAAACTTGAGCTTCCAGATTTTTCAGAGAACAGGTTAAATAAGAAAGAACACTGATTTGGGAGTCAGAGACTGGGCTCCACTCCTAGCTTTGTGGCTGACTGGTCATGTAAGCATGGGTAAACCTTTGCCCTTTTTCTCTTTTTGATCTTTTTGTAAGCAAACAAGGCAAAACAAAACAAAAGCAAAATGCTGGCTAGATATTTCTGGGTTTGGCATTTTTATGATTCAATGGCAAGAGAGATGTGTATTAGAGGTAAGAGAAATGGAACTGTTCTGGAAAAACTCAGGGAGGTAGTAATCTTAGAATCATCAGGCTTGAAGAGGCAATTATGTAAACATGAACATGACCTTGCTCCTGGATCATTTATTCAGAGGGACATTCCCAACATAGTAGAAGAGTCAGTAGTGTCTCTCAGTTAAAGATTTCCAGTTCTGTGGACCAACGAAAGCACAAATCTCTCCTTCCTTGATGAGGTGAGAGCAACCTCTAGAATAGGGCCTTTTGCCTTTGGGCACTTGTCACAAGAAGTCTGTGTTCTCGTCTAGCAAAAATGTCTTCCCAAACTCCCAAGCTCCAGATTTCTACAGTTCCTTCTTATCTGGAGCTAGGGAGGTCTAAAGTATAGTGGACATGAAATGTTTCATCAGGAACACCTGCTTATAAGGTAGTTGATAGGAAGGGGGAAATGTCTTGCTGTTACACAGGGATGCCTTCCACCATGGTAGACTATACCTTTAACCTACACTCCTTTCACAAAAGATCTCCTTTGCCATTCCTTGCATTGTAAGATGACAAAAGTCACACATGCAGAGGCAAAACAAGATACTCAGCTGTTTTTGTTTGCTTGCTTGCCTATTTCTTTGTGTAAGTTACTCGGGTTCAATAAGGCCCACAAATATTAGAGATAGATGATGAGATAGACATAGACATAGATATAGACACAGAGATCAATCAACTAGCAATCTAGCTAAAGATACCCCACACTTCCAACAACCCAGAAAGCTCCCTTGTACCTAACCCAGTAAATTCCCCTACCCGCAGTCTAGCCAGTGTTGTGACAACTCACCATGGATTAATTTTTTCTGTTTTTGATCTTTATCTAAATGGAATCACAGTATATCATCTTTTGGGTATGGTTTCTGTCATTCTATGACTGTGAGCTTCATATATCTCGTGTATGTAGCAGTAGCTCATCATTTTTCATTGTTGTATGGTACTCCATTGTATGACTATACTACAATCTGTCCATTCTCCTGTTAATGGACATTTTGGATGTATCCATTTGGAGACTATAAATAAAAGCTGCTATGGACATTTTTTATTAAGTAAAATTCATGTAACATAAAATCACCATTTTAATCATTTTACAGCATACATTCCAAGGGTTTTTGGTATATTCACAATGTTGTACAACCATCACCAGTCTTTTTTTTTGAGTTGGAGTCTCACTCTGTCGCCCAGACTGGAGTGCAGTGGTCGCTCCCGGCCACCGCAGCCTTGACCTGCTGGGCTCCGGTGATCCTTCCGCCTCAGCCTTCCAAGTAGCTGGAATTACAGGCATGCGCTACCATGCCCGGCTGATTTTTTGATTTATTGTAGAGATGAGGTCTCGTTGTCCAGTCGAGTCTCGAACCCATGGGCTCAGGCAGTCCACTCACCTCAAGCTCCCAAAGGCGCGGGATTACAGGCTGAGCCATTTTTTTTTTTGAGTCAGAATCTCACTCTGTCACCCAGGTTGGAGTGCAGTGGCACACTCAGGGCCACTGCAACCTCAACCTACTGGGCTCAGGCAATCCTTCCACCTTAGCCTTCCAAGTAGCTGGAATTACAGGCGTGCACCACCATGCCCAGCTTATTTTTTGATTTATTGTAGAGAGGAGACCTCGCCAAGTTGTCCAGGCTGGTCTCGAACCCATAGGCTCAGGCAATCCTCTCACCTCAGCCTCCCAAAGTGCTGAGATTATAGGCGTGAGCCACTGTGCCTGGCCTTCGAGTCTTAAATTCCAATACATCTTTATCACTCCAAGAGAAATCTCATATCCATTAAGTAGTCACTCTTCATTCCCTCCTCCCCCAGTCTTGGCACCACTAATCCTTCTGCCTCAATAGGTTTACCTATTCTGGGTGTTTTATATAAATGGAATCATACACTATATGACTTATATCTGGCTGCTTTCACCTTTCATAATGTGTTCACGGTTCATCCATGTTATGGCATTACCTTGGTTATGTGTTCAGATATGGAATCTCTGAGTCACATGTTTTAGAAGGTGTTGCTGAATTGTTATCCAAAGTGGTTGCCACAGTTAGCAGCACTGTATGAGAGCACCAGTGACTCAATACCTCATCTACTTGTAGCCGTCTTTTTAAGTTTAGCCATTTCTGGTGAGTGTGTACTATTATGATATTGTGTTGTAATTTGCCCTAGAATTTAGATGATGTCCCAGGGGGAAAACTTTCTTATGCATTTAGAATGGCTCAAATTTCCAATCTGTTTTGCAAGCCCTTTTGACTGTCAAATGCCTTGCTGATTTCTCTTTCTAGCATCTATGACCTTCTGCCTGGTCCAAATCCAAGCTACCTCCTGATCCTCAAATTAAATATTCCCAGAGAAGAAAAAAACTGGCGATTATTAGTCCACATTGGAGAGTCCTCACCTCCTGGAGTTCCAACTCATCTCATCGTTATTGTACCCATTTTCCTCAATTTATATAAAATATGATTTGAGTAATTTATTCAGGTTTTCCTAGTTGCTGCCATGGAGGTATTGGGCTACCATGACCTATTATATCCTTTGCAGGAGTAGAAGTCCAGACATCTAACTTAAATGGAGTCAGAAAGAACCACTACTCAAGACATACAAGAGAAAAAGGAACTTAATAAACATGGGCGTAGCATATTACAAAGAACCTTGGAGAAAGCAGCCCATCCAAAATAACATGGCAGAACTTTGAGTGAGTGCAAACGTAGAGATACTAGTTTAAGGACTTGATACAAGAGATCAGACATCAATCCAAACCACAGAACATAAGATAAGGATGAGAAGAAACCTTTCCAAAGCATTTTTACAATTATAATTCAATAATCAACTGTTTAGATCTGATTTTTCCCAGTAAAATGTAAACTCTAGGAAGATAAGAACTCTGCCTGCTTTCTCCATTTTATCAAAACTAATATAATTTGACAAAATTTGGGTTCACATGGTAAAAGGCAGTATCACGGCCCACCATCAGTCCTCTAGAGTTGATTATAAATAACTATCCTTATATTAACTATAGAATACACGTTATAGAATTATCTCTGAATTCTTTTTCCCCTATGGTTTCCAGATGTTCCCAGTGTCTAGATGTTCCAGTCGCCCATCTCCCAGAAACCCAGCCCTGTCTCCCTATGGAAGCCGCAACTTGTAATGGATCAATGGACGGCTCAGCTATCTTCTACTTGGTGGGCATCCCCTCTCTGCCAGAGTCCTTCTTCCTCCCTGTGTTTTTTATTTTCCTCCTCTTCTACCTTCTCATCCTTACGGGTAATGCCCTGATTCTGGTGGCTGTGGTGGCAGAGCCCAGCCTCCACAAGCCCATGTACTTCTTCCTGATCAACCTCTCTGCACTGGACATCCTTTTCACCACGACCACCGTCCCCAAAATGCTGTCCCTATTCTTGCTTGGGGACCACTTCCTCAGTTTTTCTTCCTGCTTATTGCAGATGTACCTCTTCCAAAGCTTTACATGCACAGAAGCCTTCATCCTGGTGGTCATGGCCTATGACCGCTACATGGCTATCTGCCGCCCACTGCACTACCCTGTCCTCATGACCCCACAGACCAATGCTACCCTGGCAACCAGCGCCTGGCTCACTGCCCTCCTCCTGCCCATCCCAGCAGTGGTGCAGACCTCCCAGATGGTATTTGGTCCTGTGGCCCAGGTCTACCACTGCTTCTGTGACCATTTGGCTCTGGTCCAGGCCTCCTGCTCCGACACCACCCCCCAGACCCTCATGGGCTTCAGCATTGCCATGGTGGTGTCCTTCCTCCCCCTTCTCCTGGTGCTTCTCTCCTATGCCCACATCCTGGCCTCGGTGCTTCGCATCAACTCCCGAGAAGGGCGCTCCAAAGCCTTCTCCACCTGCAGCTCCCACCTCCTGGTGGTGGCCACCTACTACTCATCCATTGCCATAGCCTACGTGGCCTATAGGGCTGACCTGCCCCTCGACTTCCACATCATGGGCAATGTGGTATACTCTATCCTCACACCAATCCTCAACCCTCTCATCTACACACTGAGAAACAAAGATGTCAAAGCAGCCATTACCAAAATCACAGGTCTCAAGGCCCAGGTTTTGACATACATTTGACCTTTAAATGCAGCTAACTCAGATCTCAGAACACCAAATAACAGTGCTTAGCATGGAGTAGGGACTCAGTAAATATTGTTGGATGAATAAATTAGTAAATATAGAATAACAAAAAATTCAGTTGGACAGATAACTCCAACAGTGGTTCTTATACTTTGGTCCAGGACAAAATACCAGTACAATGAAATAATGTTAATTTTTATAGGAATCTGAAGTTGTTACATAAAAATTCACTACTTAGTAATCCAAAAAAATCTTTAACAAAAAGAAAATCTTCATGGCAAAAAGTCTTCTAAAGTAAAGTCAAAAAACAAATAAGGCCAGGCACGTGACTCATGCCTGTAATCTTAGCACTTTGGGAGGCCATGGTGAGAGGATTGCTTGAGCCCAGAAGATTGAGACCAGCCTAGGCAACATAGTGAGACCTTGTATCTACAAAAAAAAAATTAACTGGGCATTATATTGCACGCCTGTAGTGCCAGCTGCTCAGGAGGCTAAGGTGGAAGGGTTGCCCGAGCCCAGAAGATTGAGACTGCAGTGACCTGTGATTGTGCCATTGCACTCTAGCCTGGACAACAGATTCAGATCCCGACTCAAAAAAACAAAAAAAAAGCCAACTGTATTGAGGTACAATATTCAAAAAATAAAATATACCTATTCTAAGTGTATAATCTGATAAGTTTTAACAAATATATAGTGCCCATTCAACCACTACTGTAATCAAGAAATAGACTATCTCTGTCAAGCCAAGAACTTCACTTACGTCTATTCCCAGTCCTCCTTCCCAACCCTGGTTCCAGGTAATCCCTGATCTAACTTCTATCTCTGTACATTAGATTTGTATTTTTTAGAGTTTTATATAAATGGGATCATACAGTATGTTCTCTTTTGTGACTGACTTCTGCTTAGTATGTTTAAAAATTTTATTTGTGGTGCTACATGTATCAATAGTTCATTCCTTTTCATTGCCAGAATTATTTCATTGTAATGATATATCTATATCTATATCTATATCTATATAGATATATATTTACTGATTGATGGGCATTTAGGTTTTTTCCAGTTTGGGGTTATTATAAATAAAGCTCTCAAAAACATTTTGTACATATATGCGGAGATATGTTTTCATTTCTGTTGGGAAATACTTAGGAGTGGAATTACTGGATGATACAGTGTCTGTTTAATAGTCGCTCTGCAACTGCTTTCCAAAGTGTTTCATTCCCACAAGCAGTGTATTATTATTCCAGTTGCCCCATATCTTTCCCATTACTTGGGATTATTGGTCTTTTTAACTTTAATCATTCTAATGAGGGTGTAGTGGTAGTCCATTGTGGTTTTAATCTGTACTTCCATGATGACTAATGATATTGAGCATATTTTCATGTGCTCATTAGCCATTCATATTCAAAGGGGGACCAAAAATCCCCTGAATTTATTAGAAAACTGTGTGTTTATTCTTACATGTTTAAACTTCAGTCACCTTCAAAGTGGTCTCCCTTTGATGGAATACACCTACTGAGATGCTTTTTTACACTGCTCACAACAGTTTTTAAACTTGTCCATTTGGATGCCTTTTAGTGCTCATTTCATCTTTTGCACATTGGCAACACACTTCCCTTTGAGGTCTTATTTCACCAGGGAAACAAAAAATGTAACTCAGGGTGAGATAAGGTGAATAGGGAGGGTAGGACATGGGGGTCATACTGTTTTGGTCAAAAACTGCTGAACACTCAGTGCACTGTGGGCTGGTGCACTCATAAATCACCCATCATGAAATGGGCAAACACATCGATAGTCTCCAAAAAAAACTCACTAACGCTGAACACCGCCTCTCACAACAACATTAGCTGTTACACTGATGTTGATGGTTCCTAGATTACTTACCTAGCAGGGATAGCCTGTAGTACAAGGGGGCTCTCCTCCAAAAGATAATTCTGGTTTTGGGGGTTTCCTCTAATATCTTGTTTTTATAGTGTCTATTCAAATATTTTACCTATTTAAACAATTGAGTTGTTTATTTTTTATTAATGAGTTGTAGGAGTTTTTTATATATTTTAAATACAATCTTTTGTCACACATATTATTTTCTTACAGTTTTGAACTTCTCTCTTTTTAATTATCTCTGTGAGGAGCAGAAGTCTTTAATTTTGATCAAGTCCAATTTATCACTTTTTATTATGCTTCATGCTTCTCATCTCCTAGGATATCTTTGCCTTCCCCAAGGTTTCAAATATTTGTTTCCTTTTTTTAAGACATTTTATAGCTTTAGTTTTCAATACTTAGGCTTATGACTCACTCTGAGTTGATTTTTGTGTATGGTTTGAGGTAGAGATCAAGTTCCACTTTTTTAATATGGACATCCTGAAAATCATGCAGCATATTTTATCTCAATTTATTCTTATTTTTCAAAATAATCATGGCTTAACTCTCCATTTATTTAGTTCTTTGATTTTTCTCAGCTGTGTGTTACAGTTTAGAGTACAGGTCTTGCATATGTTTGTTAAATTTATCTCCAAGTATTTCATGTCTTTTGATGCCATTGTAAGTTATTTTTAAAATTTTAATTTCCAGTTTTTTTGTAGGTAGAAAGAAAATTTATTTTGTATAGTGATTTTATATCCTACTATTTGATAAACTCACTTATTACTTCTTGTAGCTATTTTTGATTTCTTGGAATTTTCAATATATTTGATCATGTCATTTATGAATTATGAGTTTTATGTATTCTTCTCCTATATATGTCTTTTACTTATTTTTTTTGCCTTTGTACTGACTAGGACCTCCAGCACAATGTTGAATGAAAGTGGTGAGAGAAGACATGCTATCTTGTTCATGATCTTAGAGAAAGAGGCATTCAATATTATAGCATTAACTATGATATTAGCTATGGATTTTCCATAGATGCCTTTTAGCAGGCTGAGGCTGTTATTTTCTGTCCCATACTTTGCTGAGATACTTTATTATGAATTCTATTTTTGTAGGTTATATTCTGAGTATAGAATCCTAGACTGGAAGGTTTTACCTGTTAGCACTATAAAGATGTCATTCCATAGTCTGTTGGCTTCCATAGTTTCTGTTGAAAAGTCAGCTGTAGATCTTATTATTGCTGCATTAGAAGAAATATGTCTTAGCCAGGTGTGGTGACTCATGCCTGTAATCTCAGCACTTTGGGAGGCAGAGGTGAGAGGATTGCCTGATCTCAGGGTTCAAGACTAGCCTGAGCAACTTGGCAAGACCTCGTCTCTACAATAAATCAAAAAATTAACCAGGTGTGATGGCACATGCCTGTAATTCCAGCTACTTGGAAGACTGAGGTGGAAGGATTGCCTGAGTCCAGCAGGTTGAGGTGATGGATGTCACTGCATTCCAGCTTAGGTGACAGAGTGAGACTTCAACTCAAAAAAAACCAAGGTCTTATTTCCCTGGCTACTTTCTAGTCTTTCTTTTTATCTTTGGCTTTCAGCAGTTTGACTATAATGCAGTATAACTCCTTTGTATTTTGGGGTTTTTTTTTTGGCTTGGAACTAGCTCAGTTTCTTACATCTGTGAGTTGCTTTTTAAAATCAGTTTTGGAAATTTCTCAGACCTTATCTCTGTATCATATTTCTGCATAATTCTCTCTCTTCTCTACTACCAGGACTCAAATTGCATGCATGTTAGGACTTTCAACCAGGTCTTATAATTTTTTGTTCTCTTTTTACTTTTTTTGTGTGTGCTTCATGTTTATTTTGGGGCAATAAGTAGAGAAAGATCTGATCTCTCAGGAGAGCACTCTGTGGGTCTGTATCTTGGTAGGAGTCTGTATCTTGGTAGGAGTAGGAATGAGATACTGGACAGGCATCAGGAATGACTGGATCTAGGCATCAGGTTGTTGATTGTTGTGGTTTGGCCTCATTTGTAATACTGCCTCTGTGTGTTGAGGTCACTGTAGACATCTGGTCTCTGACCCTGAAGTTCCTGATAAGGAGACTCAGTCTCAGAAATACACTGTTTCCATGTCACCTCTGCAGCCCCTCACCCCTGGGGAACCAGCCAACCCAGAGAGTACACAGCCAGGGTGATGAGCAGGGTCAGCACCAGGTTACCCAGCACAATCCCCACCAGCACACCAGGGCTCACCATGGAGCAGTTGCACTCTCTCTGGGCCTGGACAGGACTGAGACCACCCACAGTCAGAAGGAGCGGCAGGAGCAGGAACTTGCTGGAGGCTTCAAGGCCCCCCATGATGCCGTATGTTGCTGGACACCACAGTCAAGGGCCGGTGGGATGTGGCATAGCGTCCAACCAAGTGAAGGAGGAAGTCTGAGGTTCTCTTTTTACATTTTTAATTATTTTTTAAATCAGTGATTCAGTTTGGATATTTTCTGTCGATCTATATCCTAGTTTACTCATCCTTGATTATTTACACCCATCCAAAAAGTTTTTAAGTTTACATATTATATTTTTTAATTATACTATGTTCATTCATTCTTTTTCTAGATTCCAATTCTCTTTAAATTCTCCATTTCTTATTTTGTTTCTGTGTTCTTTTTGGCAATAAATTAATCATAGTTATTTTAATGTTCCTACTTGATAATAATAATAACTATTATTATTTTAAACAATAGATATGGGATCTTACTATATTATCCAGTCTTATCTTGAACTTCTGGCCTCAAGCAGTCCTCTTGCCTCAGCCTTCTGAATAGCTGGGATTGTAGGCATGCACCACAACACCAGGTCTGCCTGGTAATTACACCTGACTCATCTGGATATCTTTTTCTACTCTCTTTTCTCCCTTCTTGCTTGGCTTATTTGATCTTTTTTGTTTTGCTTTGTTTTTAACCATACCTCATACTTTTTTGATTGGATAAAAACGTAAAGCCTAGGTTATTTATCTTCCTCCAGAACAGGTTGTATTCTAGCAAACAGCACCAAAGGATTATCTTTGTCGTGGCTTGGTTTTAATCTGTATTCTGTCTTGTTTATTTCATTTTGCTCTTACTTTTAGGGTTTAACTCATTCCCAGGGCCTCTACTGAAGTTCTGAGGTA